CGTATCGACACAAGAGATGTGGTTGCTGGCTGTGGAAAGCTTGCATCTCGGGGAGTACTACGGTATGCCTATTGATATATCTCGATTTCTCTTTTGATTTGTCCCCACTACTGATTACCACTCACACCTCCTTTGTTGTAGTGGTTGTAATCAGGAGCGGCTATACAACCAGATTAGGGAGGCGGACATATGAGATGGCATGTGGGTCGAAGCGCAGAAATATTACTCCCATCCAGCAAACACTATCATTCGGCCACGCATGATACCTTTCCATGGCGCACGGATGATGTTTAATGTACATTGGCTTGGTAGTGCGGTGTACAAGGGCTGAAACGATCAAGCGTCGGAGATTTGATTGTATATAGATACCCTCCCCGCACTTCGGAAGATTTCCAAATCGGCAATGATAAACACCTGCCGGTGCGCAAACATTAACCCGCCTGCCGGTGCTGACTCTGGCTGACCCAAGCTTCAAGATATCACTATATCGTTTACTTCTTCGTATAGGTCTTCGAACCCTCTTCCCCAATCAGCTTTCTCCTAATAGCGACCATGATCTCGAGCGCTCTATGGGCAGATTATATGTGCATACCAAACACTAGTCTTTATCCAGGAAGGACGAAGTCTTCGCTGGCAAGAAAACATAACTGCTTCTATGCGAGTACTCGCAAGCACAGTTTCTTGTGAGGCATAGTTGTGCAAGGCTACAACCTCGTGAGGTCTGAACGATTGACCCGAAATTTGGGCGGATCAGGCCCGTATATAGGTAGGATTTTACCATGATTACAAAGGAAGTGGTACGAGTATCGGTTTACCATTCGGCGCTGACGTGGGCAGTCACGCATTACATGTAATCTCACTGCACTGAAATGCTATACAAAATCAGCTATACGGCAAGTTTGTCTACCTAGGTACTGTTTTACTTACTTTATAACTCACGTCTCAAAAATGTATATACAAAGTATCACCATAAATATACAAGATAACATCTTCGTTATGCATACCATGTGATTCGCTCACATACTTTTCCAAGATCTGGTATGATGTAGCATTTCCCACTTAGTAAACTCGCACTGGATATGGCAGAGAACAACTTCCAGACTTCCTACCAAAAGACTAGAGTCAATGCCTGAATAGTCCACACAACACACTTATGTTACGTCGAGAAATATAGCCTCGAGCGACGACATTATACTATTAAGAATCAAACTGCCGAAGCGTCGATATGCAAGGAGTGAGTCAGGGTCTGCAACTGTGGTAAAGCTGACACTCGGAAAGTGATGTATACAGTAAGAGAGGAAGGTACTGCTACACTATATCAAGGATATTTCGTTGTATTTACCTTAACCATCTGCTAGATATATAGATTCCTTAGCTGCTTCTTTTGTCTCTCTTTGCCGAATTTTCCTTTTCTTCTTGTATGTGTGTGTTATGTTTCCCATCCTAGACCGACTGACCTGGCAAAAAGGAAGGCTGCTGCAACAACTTTATAACGAGATTTACACATTTGCAAAAAGAAACGGCTGTGATGGTCACTACGAGGGTCGAACTCGCGACCTTGGCGTTATTAGCACCACGCTCTAACCAACTGAGCTAAGCGACCTGTTGTTGTTCGATGAAAGATTGTCAAACAATGTAATATATATTGTTATCAAAAATCTATAGGGTCAGCATAGTTGAAATCGGCTCAGGTGCGGGGTTCAGAACATCTTGCAGTTGGTCAACTCCGAGTCGATCTTTGCCGGGCTGACCCCACCCAGCTTAAAACTCCACAAACACCATACCCAGCTTTCCAAGATATACTGTAACTCTGGAGAACAAAGCTATACTGCTCTTTGATGCCTGCATACCAATTGAATCAGGCAGGCAGATTACAGAAGAAGAGATCTCACCAGGGATGCGGGCCTGCATGTTAGTCGTTTACTGAGCCGAGATATTCTGAAGTAAGACAATCAACATATGGAAAAGAACAACGTGACGAGGACGGGAATGATGACCGACACTCTGTGAAGAGAAAGTGAAACGACGTGTCTTAGAGAGAGGAAAGTAAGGAAACATATGGTAAGAAGTAGAGACGAGAAATAAACATAGCAGAGAGAAGAGGAAGAAGAGAGTAAAGTATACAATTAACGTCGACCCATAAACCGATCAAAATGCCTCTCCAGCGAGATCTTCTGCGAGACCTTCCAACTCTTCTTGTCTAAAAGGCACCCACAATCTCTCTGTACCCATAGCATCCTTCCTACTTTCAATCATCTGATGATCGTGGAACTCCTTAAGCAGCGTCCTGAAGCTAACTTCACTTGTGCAAACGAATGCTTCGACAGCCTTGTGGTACAGCACACGGTACTCAACGCCTTGCGCAGACTCTGGAAGAACGTTCTTGGTTTTCTCCACTTTCTTGGACCTTGGCGTAGCAGTGATTTCGTCGTCTTGTTCCATATCACCACCCTCCATGAGTGAAAGTGCTAGCTGCTCCATGACAAGGATGCGGAACAGTTCTCGGGCTTGTTCTGGTAATGACCGCAAGACGAAGCCTACACCGTCTCTTCCGCCGACACGTCTACCGCTGCGTCCCAAGAGTTCATTCACAGTCTCAACCGTGTCTATCTCCGCGTCATAAGGGGCGAAGGTTGTTGCGTCGTGGAAAAGGAATTTGTATTGCGTTTTCATACCGACATCCCACAAGAGAGGGAAGTGGGGTGTATCGGCCGTGCACAGGAGGTTGATGGAGGGATGGGTAGCTAGACGGGCAATCATGGAGGGTACTGGCGTCTTCCGAAGGTAGGGCGAGTCGATGGAGTTCAAGATGACGGGTACTGGATGCGACGGCGAGTTGCTTGTGAGATGCTCGAGAATAAAATCGAGTAGGAGTGCAGGTTGATTAGGCAACTTCAGTCCTGCTGGTACCACTGCTGATGCAATGGTCAACAACAGATCTTTGATTGTTGTGCCAGCTGTGTATCCATTTATGACCACAATCTTCGGTGTCTTCTTTGTCCCTTTATACGACGCGGAATTTATAAGATGTCGATAGAGGCGTGCGGTGAATCGCTCCGTGATGATGCGCTTCGAACCGTAACCGTAGAGACAGATGTTGAATCCTTCCTCCAGCTCGAAGATCCATTGGTTGTATGCACGGCCATGCAGTTCAAGTAGGAACTCTCTCTCGGATTGGTGACGGTCTTGGTAAGTTTGTATTGCTTGGAAGTATTCATCGTGGTTGAGTAGGCTCTGCGCAGAGAGGGTGTTGTTGGAGGTTTTGGTGCCGCCAGGACGGTTTTGCCAGAAGTACTCCTCATGCGGTGGCAGTTCAGTCGGAGGCGTAGGTGAGCGCTGCTTTCGCGGTCGTCCTACCTTTCCTGACCCCTTAGGTCGACCTCTTCCACGCTTTGAAGGTGTCTCTGGCACAGGTACCTCATCTTGTACTGTTCCCTCTTCACCTTGCTCAGTGTCGTCTGCGTCTTCCCCTAAGATATGTTCTGCAAGGTCTTCCTCCTCATCCAAGGCATCCTCGTCGCTCTCATCGCCATTCAGTGTGCGCTCTAGTATACGTCGGTTGCTTTTCCTTCGTGCGCTGCGATCGGCGTTGCGAACAATGGTGGGTGTGCCGTTTGGCGAGTCTCGTTTTGCGGACTTTGTAGGGGTTTCAAACACCAGTTTCCGGTTGGACTTGGGCGTCGCAGCGATTCCATTTATCAGGCCAGTTTTCTTCAAGATGGATCGTGGTGTCCCATGCTCGGCCAGATGTTGTGTCCTCCCCTTTCTGGACGGTGTCTGCGCTTCGGGCGGTTCTAGCTCATCGGGAGCGTCTTCTGCAAATCGTGCGCGTGACTTCTGCGGTGTCCCCTCATCAACGTCTTCTTCGTCGCGTCTCCGCTTTGTGCCGACCATGTCTTGTTCGTTGGGTGGATGTTTGGGCAGGACAGGGTGACGCGACTTGCGCGACTTGGGTCTTGGCGTGATGGTTGAGGCTCAACCTTAATTCTTATTTGCGAGAGACGACTGGGACCTGGCTTATTTCCACTGCACATTCATTGCTACTACCTGTCTTGCTTGCCTGTGCCTTTGCGAACTGCATAGGATTTGATATTCACTGTACAGAGTCATAGTGTTCGCGACAGGCGGTAGCATAGGGTCGAGTTTACTACTACTGTTCGTCGCTAGTAGATTCGCGCTGACATGTGATCGTGGGCCTAGCAAGCGTCGTGCGGCGAGTGATGCCTGACTGAAGCCTGACTGGAGCCACCCACCCGTCTTTTTTGAGAAGCTCACAACCACAGCATGCATGCATCCAGACTTGGACGGGCTGCAAACTGTTGGTCCAGGCTACGTGCATGCGAGACACGAGATGGCTTGGAGGAGCTAGATTTGGTCATGCAGGATTATGTCAAGCAGCCTTACGAACTATGCTAGCGCAGTCGGAACCTGGTCCAGGAAGCTGAGCAGGATGTTCGCGGCCCGTTCGTAAGCGGATACTTGGTGCCTCCGGGCGTGGCAGTCACGCCGTGGTGGTATGTCAGACGTGACGAGATTGTGATTCATATGGCAAGGCAGATGACGGCTTCATGTGCGATACTCGAGGACATGTCTCAGAGCGTGAGACATGTCAGGCTGTGGCTGAGACGGGGTTACAAATAGCTGTAGGGCTCCACGGGATATGCATTCAACAGACGCTGATAGGCGTGGCTTAGGCGAAAATGGTGCCCAGCCAGGATTGTGCTTCTTTGATGATCTCACGCATGCCGGCCGCTCCTTCTCAATTTCCGTCGTCGTGTTCGTCCGTTCCTGCCCCGCACAACCCCAAATCTTCAGCTCCATACTTCTTGCTCCCGCAACAACGCCCCACTCACCGCCACGAGACTGCTATCGCGACTCCCGCACCGTCAACGTCGACAGCCTTCGAGCGCCTCGCCGCGACACGATCGTCTGCCAACGCCGCCCGGCGCATTACCCGGACTTCTGCCCACGCTTCGGGTTCCAGCACAGCACATGCCAGCATGGACACACGGAGGCGACCAGAGTACAACCTCGAGATCTTTGCGGATGCGGCGTGCGTCAAGGATGTTGTCAAGGGTGAGTCCCTTTTTCCCTTTCCAACCTGTCTGTTTTGAGCATCGGCGCGACTTTGTCACCCCACTACACGTCTCCCCGCCCGGATAGCGCCGTGGACCATAGTTGACCTTGCTCCAGCGATACTGCACACGATATTCTTCCACCGATACTTTACCTCCATCTCGCCCTTGACCCGCGACCTCCTCGACCTTACCCTTCCCGCCATCGACGATGTCGATCTTGAGACACTCATCGAACAGAAGACGTTTGCGCTAGTACGGGCGATAGACAGCACACACCAGCCGCGAGGAAGAGGGCAGATTGTCGTGCAGTTCTTTGAGAAGAAGCGGAAGAAGACGTCGTATTTCTTCAGCAAGGCAGACGAGGACGTTTGCTGGGAGCAGTGGACGCTGGACGTTACCCTCGCCCAACCACGGACCGAGACTGGTACGCTTTCTTACACTCTCTGCAAAGCAAGCTACTGATCATGACAATAGATGTGCTAAAAGTCCGCCGTGCCATGACAAAGTCTCTAGAGAAAGCAGCGCATAAGATCATCGCCATCGTAAACCGAGAGAAGGACCACATTCCACCCATCACCACCACCGATGCCAACCCCTTTCCTTACCAGATCGTCGTCAACCCAAAATCTGTCAACGAGAACGACTGGAGACCGCGCATCGGCCTTTTCTGAGACCTATCACCGTGACGCTGAGTGTAGTAATAACCCCGACTGTATATACAATCCATGATGTTATGAGGAACAGGAGATTCAACACCGCTGGGGGTAGTAGTCGTCACTGCGTGTGACGCAAAAGAGACGGAAAAGTTCTGGATTCTTTGCAACAACCACTTGAAAGACCGACCGCGCTTCACCCCTGTTCACCGCCACCACTACCACTACCAAAAGCTCCGTTGTACAGTGTCCGCTACGTCGGGCAAACCCCCATACCTGAATTGCATTCTGAACCCGCGGATATCGGGATGTTTGCTAAGAACACGAGCCTTTGTCGCTCTTGATTGTTTAATTGCTGCTATAGCTACACAAGATACCCAATTCCCCAATGAGATTTTTCTATACATAAACCTATACGCACCACACACTGTTGATTATGATGTGAACGTCTGGCTACAGTAGAGGTAGTAATACATGTCGCGAGAACCAGTTTAGGTTTAACAACCCTCTCGATAATCGGTCTCATAGCGACTTCGCCCTAATCATCATACCCAAGCCGATGTCCAAAACATTACGTATTGGTCTTCTCGTCCCAGTCAACCCACCGTTTCACAACCTCGTCCACCTTCTTGACCCCATCTTTGGTAGCCTCGACTTCGAACCATTCTTTATGCGTCTTACCACAAGCATCGCACTGCTTGATGACACGCTGGTCTGCAAGCTCGAGATGAATCAAGCGTTCTACACGATGCGCGTGCGGCACTTTCCTTACGATATCGGTATTCGTACTTGATTGGCGTCGAGATTGTGCAGGCGAGGGCTGTGGAGAAGGCGTGGAAGAAGAGACGTAAGGGTAGTATCGTACGAGAGATAAACTGTATCCACATTGGCGGGTCCATTCGTTCATACGGCGGTGTACATTGTTTGCACGTCCGATCTTAAGGAGAATGGTGTCTTTTTCTGGTGAAGAGTCTGCCTCTCCGGATCGGGAACGAGCGGTATTGGATCGAGGTCGTTGTCCGCCTTTAACTGAGTATTGTCGCATGACATCTGACGTTCGTCGGCCTTGATCTGAACGTGTTGGCGGTGCTAGCAGTGTGGACGCGGCTGAGGATGGGGCGGGACCAGCGGATTCGGGTGTGAGCCAAAAGATGTAGATGTAGCCTTCTTCGTCGTGAGGAGAAAGGGGCTTTGAGAGTTGTGCGAGTAAAGTGGAGGCGAGTTGTGGTGGTAATGTGTTTGGGATGTATCGGAGTAGCTTAGCTGTCTCCGACTCTTCTCTCGTTGTTCGGTTTACGGGTCGAGCAGGTTTCTCCCCTAGTGGTTTGCGAGCAGGTAGCTCATTGACTGGCCGAGATGAAGACGGTGGTCGCGATGATGATGGCGGCCTGGAGCTTTGTGCGCTTTGTCTTCGATGATCTTGTCGTACTCGAGGTGGTGGTTGAGGTATTTGTTCCATAGGTGCCTCTTGTCCTTCATGATCCGCGGTTGGCTTTTCGTCTGTCCTCCTCTTATGCCGCACGACTTCAGCGTAGTCGTCGTCCGCAGAGCCGCAGCACAATGACGCCCAAAAACTCTGCTTCTTCCTTTGTGGTGGTGGTTTCGACGGACGATGGTCCCGACGCTTCCTCTCCGCCATAACATCACTCGGCACAGACATCAACGGGCCTTCCACGTTATCCCAAGTAGCTGGCCGGTTGATGCGCCGTGGCGGACGGGACCCAGATGTTCTCCTTCCTTGTGTGCTCTTCTTCTTCTGACGTCTAGTGGCTTCATCCGGCTCTCCAAAATCAAGGACACCCAGTCGTTCAACAAGTGTGTCGATACTATTCCTCTCTTTCAGCGGGTATAGTTGAGTTGCCGGTCCGCTTGTTGCTTGTGCGGCCAGTTGCTCCGCCTGGTCTTTATGTTGCCAGCAAAAGTAGGCCGCAGCGCCAATCTCGTCGTCGTCGCTATCATCGCTGAGAACAGATACTACGGCTATGACACCATCGTCTTCAGATACTTTTGCATCGATTGGACGTCTACACGGTCGCCCAGATTTAGTAATGCCTTTGCATGTTGTCGCCGGATTGCGCGAATCCGAGCGAGGGATGAGCGATTCCGGTGTTGTTCCTGTGAACATGTTGGTGTATCTGCAGTGGAGTTGCAATCAATGGGACTAGAGTCAAAGACGAGCTGCTAATATAACGCTCAGACTATGCTTGTGTAAATCACTCGCAGCAACCTTCACAGCCTCACCGCCACGTGAAGGGTAGGGTACTTGTGAAACTGGTGCCGATGGCAGTGAACCTCAACTACGAGGACTGGAACTACGGATGCGGTGTGCCAGCGCATTATGAGCCAGGCAGACATCGCCTCGAAGTGGGCGCGTAGCTGAAAAGAGATGGCGGGTCTCGAAAACGCGAGGTGGGCACGTGGCGGTGCATGTGGCGCAGCGAGCAAAAAGAGTTAGGCGTGGCACAGGGTGCACGGATCAGGATCCCAAAATTCTTCTTCCTCTTCCAACCTACTTTAACCACGGTCGTCCACAGGACCCACGAACGAAAAAAAGAAAAGCTTTGTAAGCTGCATCGGCCGGGAATCGAACCCGGGGCTAGCCGAAACTGTCCTGTGATGGATGGCAACGGCTAATTTTACCACTAAACCACCGATGCGAGGTTTGGAACCAACGAACTGTTGATTGCTTGATAGAGGTTTCGCTTCGCTGTACACAATATATCCCTAAGATAGACTTTTCTTGGGAAGATGGAGGCAATCGATTCTGCAGGTCTTCGCAGTCAGCTATGTGGGGTACAAGCTGCAGTAGGCTGGAATCGGACAAAGCTAGGATTCTCCGACTCGCGTAACGTTCTGGATCAAACATTAGATTCCCTCCTGCATTTAGCAGTAGTTTTTATGTGTCTTTTACATCTTGCTGGTGTCATTCTGGAGAAACCTAGACTACTGTACGTGCCAAATAGCGCGAAATTCTGAATGCCAAACTGTATTCATCCCGTCAAGTTGTTGGGTATGCTTGGAGTATGTCGCATTGTTGAACTGTCCACACCAATCTGGTGATATATACCTAGGTACGCTGGAGAGTACTCTGAGCCAGAACATTCCGGACCACTGGAAGCAAAAATTTTCCAATATCAAACACAAGACCCAGGTAGCGAGCTGAACTAGTTGTGTGAAGCCTTGTCTGTCATGTAGGCTGTTGGAGGGCGCTGAGACTTGTACCTGGCTAAGTTGTTCTTGCGTTGAAGTATCCAATGTCGAAGCACTTGCATTCTCTGCGATTCTGAAACTTATCCATCTACACAATGAACGGTTGCGTCGATATGACAGCGATGTGAACGAATATTGGGGCTTGCGCATGTCTTCCGCTTGGATACGCCAGACCGCAGTAGCGGCTGGTATGCATCAAATATGAGCATGTGGCGTTGCTCACCAGGACAACCCGTTGCCACTCCTAAGAGCTTGCCTGTTCATCTGCAGTCATGCGTTGCAAGCCTTGCAGTGGTGCCATTTCGAGAAGTCGATTGCTCGAATAGAAACCCGATGCTCTCAATCTGTCAAGGTAGGGTCCGCGCTTAATAGCGTCTACCAGCAGAAGCCTGTTTTCGGATCAGCCACGCACAATTGCAGTCGCGTATTTCGCCTGTGGTTTTATTCATTCAGGTTTGCCAACCAGTGGGGACGTGTTTATAGTGCAAACACATTCATTCCCGCAGTTAGCAACTTTTGATCAATCGTTTCGCCTGAAGTTCGAATTGAACGTTAACAACACAACGAATTGCGATGATTTTCGCATGACGTTTCTGCAGACAAACTCTAAGATGAACGGTTGGTAGACAGGTTACCGGGACATAGTCCCCTCTGGCGTGGCCTGGACTGACTATCGGAGCCCGCCCCGATACTAGCGCGCCACATTATCGCGACAGATCCCAGCTACGATCACGATCCGTCGCTCTTTTCAGACAACTATGATGCTACGTTAGCCACATTTTTACCGCTTTTGGTTCAACGTTGACCCAACTCCAGAACTTACCAGTATACCTTAGGCGTAGCAGGCATGGTAGTTCGGGATCCAGACGTGCGGCCGTCGCGTCAACGGCTGAAGCATGACGACACTTTGCTTTGACCATTCGAGTAGCCGTCAGTTGTAGAGCCAGAAGCCGACTACTCTGGTAATGATGTGTGTCGATATTCTCGTGGATAACCAAGTGGATAGTGTTTTCTGTTTACTGTCTTCTCCATCTTCCTCGGTGAAACAAATATTTTCCTTCTTGACCTGAACGTTTACCTTCCCGTCACCCCTGGCTCGGAGCCACATCATCGCAATGAATATCAACGTACGTTTCGAATGCTGAGGGTATCAGCATGGAAGACAATACTAACATTTGTGACAGGAGCCTGTCCAAGGGAAAGCCTTTGCGCTTCCCTTCACGAAGGCTGCCAACCCAAATGCCAACCTCACCGATTCAGATCTTCGCATGCCTTTCATAAGCCGCGTCCCAGACAACATTCGAAACCATTTCATTGCCATGTGCGGAGAGTTTGTTGGCACGGTCCTTTTCCTATACTTTGCACTATCCGGCGCACAAGTCGCAAACAGTATACCTTCATCCGGAGGCCAGACAGTAGCGGAAGCAGGGAGCAACCCTCAGCAACTGCAGTACATCGCACTCTGCTTTGGCTTCTCACTTGCTGTAAATGCTTGGGTCTTCTTCAGAATCAGTGGTGGTTTGTTCAATCCAGCCGTAAGTGATTTTGTCCCACTGCACTCTTAGTCGAATAGATTTGCTGATGCCATAAAGGTCACATTCGGAATGTGTCTGATTGGTGCCCTCCCCTGGGTCCGTGGTGGCCTTTTGTTCGTCACTCAAATTCTTGGTGGTATGGCTGCGGCTGGCCTGGTCCAGTGCATGTTTCCTGGTGACCTTAACGTTCGGACTACTCTCGGTGGAGGCACCAGCATTACGCAGGGTCTCTTCATTGAGATGTTCCTTACTGCCCAGTTGGTCTTCACCATC